GATTTAAACTACATTTTTTGGAGAATAAACTATTTGTGTGAAAAAATCACACACCTCTAGTTCTGAGGCCCTTGATGAGGGATGGATTCCATTGAAACCAGTTGTGATCTGACTGAGCACAGCTTTCTGCCCTTGTGGCGAGCTGGGCCACAGAGTGAAATTTTCTCCTACTGGATTCAATGGGAATTTTGCCACTGACTTAAAGGGCACTAGGGGATACCTCCTCCGTCTTTTCTGCTACTCAGTACAGCGATTGTATGTGTTATACCAGGAACTGTTTTTTAAATGTTGTTTAATAAGTCTGTAGCTAAATGCCTCAGCTAATTAAGTAGATGCCTCTGTTATATTTATTTGTCCACCCATAGTGGCTAGGGCAATGGCAATATGTTTACAAATGTGAATTTTCTTTAACTATTGTATGGAAATGTTCCAGAGTTGTCGCAGAGAATTTTGTATTTTAAAATCAATACAGAGTCAGAATAATAGCAAAGTTGGTGGTCTTTATTTCAATATTTTGTCCATTTACAAGGACTTTCAAAAATTTCAGGGATAATTAAAATGTAATTGTTATACATAAAATTGCCTTTTAATTTACTCTTGTTAAAAGACTGGTAACTTCCCCTTTCCATTTTTCCACTACTATGCTTTACTCCTTTAAAAACAATACCAGCGTCTACACTACCGCGGAGTTCTGTCGACATAACGTTGACAGAACTCCGCGGTTTTGTTGACGCTGGTATACCTCATTTTACGAGGCAAAACACCTTCTGTCGACAGAATTCTGTCGACAGAAGGTGTTTTGCCTCGTAAAATGAGGTATACCAGCGTCAACAAAACCGCGGAGTTCTGTCAACGTTATGTCGACAGAACTCCGCGGTAGTGTAGACGCTGGTATTGTTTTGTCGACAAAAGTCCACTTTTGTCGACAAAACTAGGTAGTCTAGACACACCCTAAATGTCAAAATATATTTTATAGATAATACATGAAATGCATATACTACCAGGACAGATATTCTTCACAGAGAGGAGAATATCAGTATTATATATAGTATGTCCAACGAATACACACAGTGTATACATTTGTGATAAACTGTGGGGCTATATGATATCTCTAACTATTGAAAACCTTGACCAACTCATCTGTTCTCTGCCCACTAATCCACATCCTCCTGGACTTAATCTAAAATTTAAACTGTTAAGCAAGTCCAAAGAGTTGTCATTTGTTGTTAAATAAACCTACCATAGAAATATTTACTCTTTTTCCCTGCAAATTACCTTGGCTCGAAGCCCAAGAAAAGCAAAAGTTAGTCCTTAGTCAGCGATAGCTTTTTAATATATAAAAAGGTCAAAAATTTGAAGTCCATTGCCTTGCATCCCTGAAAATCTGAAACTTGTTGATCTTGGGTCTACAATCAGAATAATTTCACATTTGGGAAGATAAGGAAGGAACACTTCTTCAGCATGTGTATTTAGATAAACAAGTTAATTATTTAAAATATTAGAGGCATCTGAAATTCTTCTAGAAGAGCACACACATTCACAGAGAGTATTTTCAAAATATGTTATAGTATATAAAAGATTTATGGAGATTGGGTTTGAAGCTAAATTAGTCTAGAGATTGGATTCAATGCCACTGAAATTTGGTAAATTGCAGTCATGAGATACTGGCCCCAATTAATGGAAATCTTGCAGGTAAGATCAGCTCTTTTCAAGGGATTTATAATCTTTCACTGGTCCACAAGGAAAAACTATGGTGGTCATAACTTTTGAGTTGCTTCAGGGAACTAAATAATCTTAGCTCAGCGCTTGCAATGTTTTCTTAGGTATTCTCTTTGCTTAAGAAGCATAGGGAATTCTGTAAATATCAAAATTATATTATCTCATTATCTAAGGCAAAATTGGCAAGTATGACACACTAGTTTTGGATCTGCTCAAAACCAAGTTGAAGGAGCAAGTTAAGAGCCAAAGAAGTGAATAGATTCTACATTCCCTAATACTGTATACATAAGTAATTACAAACTACAAAGAATACATTTGTCTGCAAATATATGCATACCCAAAGTATGCAAACAATGGCCGATGAATTTAAACCTGGCACTCTTTTATTGTGTTTATAACACGGTTAATTTGGATATTAAAACAATTAATATCAATCTACAAAAAATAAAGAGATCCACTATGGTATATTTATTTGCTACAACTGCAAGATATAACAGATAAACATACTTATAGATGCAAATAATTGGATGCTCTTGGTAGTAAGATAGAAATTGCTATTTTCTCAAGTATCCAGCATTTTCTAAAACAGTTGCATACTGTATCAAATTATGTATGATGTGTGAGCTTTAAAATTTCCTTTAGCCTTCTCTTGTTCTCTTTTTTCAATCTTTTAATTCTTTCTTGGTTCTCCTGGATGTCTTGTCCTCCTATTTTCTGTCCCCTGATTCTCTTAACTAATGTCTGCCCACTCTGCATCAACAGGAAACGCTGTTAATTCAATCAGCGGAGATGAGACACAGTGCTTGGAAGGCGAGGGGGAAAGGCAAGAGGGTGTGCTTGGTAAGGAATAAGTCATCCCTTTTCCAAGGATGGTCTGCCTCCAGTTGAATGGCCGAGAGACTAGCTAGGCTGATTGGCTTTTGTCTTCTCTCCTCTCTCTTGTCTATTTAAATTCTCCTTGGACTTTTCTCTTGTGCCATTAGCTGCTGCCAAATAACTTTGGCCGATGACACAAGAAGAAAGGAGACACGTGGGGTCGGGGATGTGATAATACTAATTTCTAGTGCTCCCAGTACCCAGTATTCAATGGACTAAAAAGACCTGATCCCAGAAGTACATGGGGCATGGGATTATTCTGGCAGACCTTGCACCTTTAGGAAAAAGGGAGATATGAAGTTTGTGTAGACTGATTATATGGACTGGTTATATGGCAGGAGCTATTTAAGCCCACACTGGACTGTGTTAAATGTCTGATATTTGTGTGGGATAGCATACATCACTCCTCTCCAGTGTTACATAATTAAATTTGTGACCTGTTGCTGAAATCCATCCCTGTATCTTTCATTAGCCTGCATGCTCTGAACAATGGGCAGAAGTAGACTTTCCAAAAAGTTACTGTGGATAGTCCTGATGCAGCCTCCAGAGCTCAAGATTTGATCCTCTTATCTCCATTAAACAAATTAATTAATTTTGAGCAGGTAGTGTTTAGAGCCATAATTCAAAGTATTTTTTTTTTTGCCTTTTTATATTCAAACGGCAGCTACGGTATGCAATATTTTTGCCATGGCGATAGCTAAACAACATAGTCATGTCCATTCACCCACAGATATGAAGTTACTTTTCTGTAGTGTACATGCAGACTTTACACAATATATGCAAACACATCTGTCAAATGGTTACAAACCAACTCTAATAGCAAATGTAATTCTTTTCTGTAAAATAGCTGTTTTTAACACACAATATCTAACTCTTGTTTGCTCTTTAAAGTTTTATTGTCTTGGCATTTCATATAGGAAGAGAGCATTAGCATACTCAGGAGAACTGCTAAGAGTAAAAGGCCTCAAGCTACCTACTGCATGGTTAATAGCATAAAACATGGGATATAAAAACTTTTGTCTGATTGCTCACTTTACTTGTTTTAGAGTAGTGTTACTCTCAAGAGCATATATTCATGTTCTTCTTCTTCTAGTTTTATTACTTCTTTTGTATTATTTAATACATTTAAAGACACTTCTAAAAGACAAATTTTTCCATTTTGAAACAGTAATGGTTTGGAACTTGATAAAACACGCTAATGTTCATAGTGGTTTTTCCCCTCTCAAAGGTGATGCAGTACATGTGTAATGAAGTAATTAGCTACATAGTAAATAAACATGTCTACATGATTATGAATAGATATCTATATACAGTACCTAGCAAGATAAAACCTACCCCAGCGAATATTTTACTCTATTAAAGGGCAAATAATAAGGTAGCTTAAAGTCAGAGTATAATCTAAATTACTAATGTAGCTAAACAGCACTACATTAGAAATTAAAACGAACTTGAAAATGGAAAAAAGAAAACAAATAAAAAAGGGAAATCATGTCAGCTATTTTAAATACAGGAAGAATTGAAAACATAACTATATATTCCAGTATACATTTTTAAAATCATCCTATGGTGAACTTAAATCTAAGTCTATTTACATATCATATTCCTAATTATTATATAAATAACATGGGAAAATGTACCTTCAAGGTACATGTTTTACTATTTAGTAAACAAAAACTGCTACATTTGACACCACAGATTAAGGCCAGGCATTTCTAAAGCTTCATACTCATTTCTGAAATCCACAATACATCAATTTTTAATACTTCCACTCTCTCAGCTCCATTAAAAAGATGGTAGGGGAAAGATTTTAGAGTAATTAATGATATAGTTAGCTGCTAAATATTAATAGGAATCGTAGTCTTGCATAAAATATAACATATAAACCTTGCCAATACAGACGCACCAGTAATTAAAGTTGAATATGTAATTACACTGATTTATAAGACAGGCAAAAAGTTACATTTTACTAGCGTCTATGTAAACTGTAGGTAACAGTTAAACTTTGCATTTTACGGTTGATAGAAATAGGCAACATTACCACTATAGTTCATAAATGGGTTAGAGACTTATAGTTAAAATTACAACTAATTCCAACATGAAAATTCTTACTGTACCTTATAGATAGAGCTGTGTCAATGACCACACACATACAAATATACCTTTCCACAGAAAGCACCTCTACTATCCTTGGTAGTGAGGAAAAATGGTACTGAATAATATTGATACAGCAGGTACTGAAAACATGGTACCTACGAGAAAGTGGGTCCCAGTATCCATTTTAATATTTAGTTTTCAAGTGTACAATTTCAGCTTTTACTTACCTGTGTATAAAAGTACTTTTGAGTAATATGGAGTTTCAAAAAAATGCATATTTTTTACTAAAACTCTGCTAACCACTCACTTACATGTGAGGCTGAGGAGAGCAGCCCGGACTGCTATTTCCATTACTGTCAATGTGATCCAGTGAACCATTGAGATCTTCATGGACTGCCTGCAGTAAGCCACTGGATGCGTTATTTATCAATCCTGGATTACTAAGCAAAGGTAAACTACTCTCTGCCAGTGCAGCCTAGCAAAATAAATAAGATATAGAATTCTTAGCCCATTCATCCACAAAACAGTTTTCAAATGTATACACACATGCACACATGCACAAAGAACTCCATTTTAACTTTCACATGTTGGTTCCACTGGTATGTTTTCTGGTTTATTATTTGTGTTAAATGTATTCAACTTGCAGATAGAATGAACTGTGCATTTCAGAACATATCTTCAAACTATTACTAACTTTGAATTACACTAACCCTGTACTTTTCCACACAATGCATGGTTCCTTTGTAACATAGACAGCTGCTACACTTCTAAAAATGACCAGAACTTAACTCAAAATAAAAAGTCCTGACATTTGCCTTTTATGCATAAAAATTATATATTATAATTAAATTTTAAAGTTTTTGCCATGAGCACCATGTTCCCCAACACTATGATGTGAAATCATTTATGACAGCTTGGATAAATATTAATGCATATCCACATGCATTTGCAAAAGCTTCTATCAATCTAACGTTTGCAGTAAAACTGAGTGTTCCAGATTTTGCCACAGGGTGTCCTTCTTGCTTCTTCACATCAAAAGTAGCATGAATTAGAACAGTGTGTCTTTCAGTGCTAGGTAATACAACTTACTTGAATGATACAACCAACTACTAAGAATGATCACAATGTCCATATAAACATAAATACAATCAGTTCAACTCCATAATATAACAGCATATAAAGCATGTCAGACACAAGAACATAATGAATATGTGAAAGGAAAGAATAATTTAGGATTTTTACCTGCAAGCTTGCATTAAGGGCTGCTCCATAGCCTAAGCTGGTGGGTATGTTTTTCACTAACGTTGGGCTTCTGAAAATAAATGATTTTTCAAAGTTTAAGAAAGGCAAGGTGGCTCAGTGGGTTAGTGCATTGGCTTTTTCAGCTGGTTTCAAACTGAAACGAGGTGTGTGTGTGTGTGTGTGTGGGTTCAATCTATTAGATCACAGCGATTTATTTATATCACAAACCCAAACTATTTGCTATAATTTGACCCACAAGGAACTCTGCTCAAGAGAAAAGGTCAGAAGTGAAACATGAAGGTTTATTCTGATGTGGACTGAGATACCCGGGCCAAGAGGGCTTTACAAGAGGAAATGTACATAGTGCCAGCCTCAACTATGCCTTGCTTTCAACAACTGAATGACTTTTACACTTGCAAGGAGTCCAAAAAGTTTACGACACTGACACAATATTGCTTTCTAAAAATGTATTACATAACTTCAGGAATCCAGAGAATAATGAAGGAACTGTTTTCATAGCATTATGAATTAAAAATGAATAAACAACAACATAATGGGTTGATTTATTTCTAGAATGTATATCTGACACATATTTAAATTACTCCAGAGTTCTATTTCCAATGCATTTAAGGTTTAGATAAACTGCCACTGTCTTGGGGTGTTCAGTTCAGTGGCTGTTTACAAATAAATGCATGGTTAAAACATGATATTTTCCTGCAAAGAAAAAATGTTTAGCTTGTCTCTATATGCCTTTGGCATTCTGAATGGTTTTTATCAAAACGAATAATGCACTCTAAAATGAATAAAAAGCATCTACAGCTCCAGACATACTGACATGGGATTAATCTGAAGTTGGACAGTACATACACAAAAGATCCTTCTGAGAAGGCGTCTCATGAATACTACCCTCATCAAGAAGGTATTTTTGAGGTCACTAGTGTAGGGTCTAGTACCTGTATGTCAAAAATGACCTTGAATAACTCCCTACTTCGGTCAAAGATTTACAGTAAAATCAAGCTCCTCCAAGGCACTAACACATGAGAAACATGTGCATGTATTACTATTTTTAAT